TCTTGACGATCATGTCGTCAACATAGCCCTCCATGGTGCACCCTAGGACGGCTTGAAAGACTCGGACCACCATCCGGTGTATGTGGCCCCTGAGTTCTTTAGGCCGAAGGCCATTACTAAGTAATAGAAGATGCCCTCGGGAGTCATGAAGGCAGTTTTTTCGGCGTCCTCCTCGTGCATGAAAATTTGGTGATACCCTCGGAAGGCATCGAGGAAGGAAATGATCTCACACCCTGCGGTCTCATCCACCAGTTGATCAATATTTGGTAGAGGGAATGGATCCATAGGGCACGCCTTGTTGAGATCGGTGTAGTCCACACACATGCGGAAGGTAGGGGGCTTCTGTGCGAGGACTACATTTGCTAGCCACGAGGGATATTTTACCTCCTTGATGTGCTTAATAGAGAGGAGCATGGCGACCTCCTTCTTCACAAATTCCCTTCTCTCGGCCGAGAGGGGTCTTCTTCGTTGTTGTACTGCTTTTGCCGAGGGGTCCACCGAGAGGCGGTGGGTGATGACCCTTCGGCTTATCCCCGGCATGTCCTCCGGCCCCCATGCAAAGACAGTGGAGTAGGCGCGGAGGGCGTCGGTGATACCGGTCTTCAGATCTTCAGGGAGCTGGGCTCCAATCTTCACGACTCTCTCCGGCTGGGCCGGATCGAGCGCAAAGTCTTCTACGTCCTCGGCTGGTTTAGCCCTCGGCCTTTTTTCTTCCTGGTCGATGGTTCCGGTGATGGTGATGGGTTCCTCCCTCAGTCGCTTTACCGGGGGCATATGGGTGACTTCCCCCACGTAAAGAGATTGAGCCCACTTTTTCCGCTGACTGGTGGAATCGCCCCATGTATTGCCGCCGCTGATCATGAGGATGTGGCGTTTTTTCTCTTGGTAGTGGGGGTACTCCTCCTCTTCCTCCTTCAAGTTTCCGTTCTCCCTCTTCTTGCCGAGGGGGATGGTGTTCGGGTTCACCCAAGCGTTCACCTTCGTGTGGTGCCCTCGGGGAGGTCCCTGATGAGAAGGTCCCTCCTGCCGAGGGCTCTGAACAAATTGGGATAGGTGCCCCGCTTGTATCAATCTCTCGATGGCCGTTTTTAGCTGGTGGCAGTCATCGGTTCTGTGCCCCTGGTGCCGATGGAAGCGACAGTATGGGAACTGAGGGTTAATAGCATGTACCTCCGGGGGTGCGCGAGAATCGCGCTCAACGAGGCCCCTCTCCTCGGCAAAATCAAGGATGATGCTGACGGGGTGCGTCAATGGTGTCCGAGGGCGGTCCAGGAGAATAGGCTGTGCCCAAGTCTTAAGGCTGCTCTTATAGCCTCCCCCGGGCTTGGCTTGGCCTTGCCGAGGGCGGTCATCAGAGGGTCCTGAAGCCTTGGGGTGATTTGGAGGAGCCCCCGGCCCTCGGTTATTCTTGTTGCCAGCCCTCGGGGGTTGCTGGTCTGGATGCTGGTGGTATTTCTCCACCTCCTCGGCCTCAGCATATCGGTCCCCCCGCTGCAGGGTCCTTATGTAGTCGCGGGGGGGGTTCGATGATGAGGCTCCTTGAAAAGTTGCCGATGCGGAGGACAGTTTGTAGGAGGGCCAGGAGAGAAGTCAGAGCACAAGTAAGTAAGAGAGAGAGTGTATTCAGTATGAATGTCGTGGTTTACAATGGGGAAAAGGGGGTGCTATTTTTAGTAGCAATAAATGCCGGACAGGGACACGTGTCAAGCATCCATTGGCCGAGAGGTCACCTCATCTGGTTGGCGCTGGAAACCGCATGTGGCCGCATTTAATGCGGCTGTTGGATGGGACGTTGTACAGGGTACGGTGATCTGTACGCGCGTGAAGAGGAGATCTTGTCGAGTGAGGTGCCTTCGGCTATAGAGCAGCAGCCGAGGGCTCCTGGTGCCGAGGGCTACTGTTTTCGCCGTTTTCTCCCAGTTTTTAGTTTGCTTGAGAAACCCGTTCTGTGAGAGTCTAGAGCCTTCGGCCAGGGGGTCGAAGGCACCCCTGGTGCGCTGTGGGCTGCTTGGCACTCCGGGCGCCATGTTTTGGGCATGTTGGGCTTTCTGGGCCTGTTAGGCCTTTACTGGAGTAGTAGGAGTCTGTGGGCCGGGGGTTCCCGGGCCATATACTCCATCACCCGTGACTACCAGTCACGAAAATTCATAAGGTCTAACCCTAACACATATGTTTGCATTTCTAGAGTCCAACTCAAGTACATCACCATGCAAATCATATGACACAAGTTAATTACTCCACCGTGCATTTTTAGAGTCCAACTCAAGTACATCACCATGCACACCATAGGCTACAACCTCAAATCTCTCATGCATTTATAGAGTCCAACTCAAGTACATCACCATGCATGTCATCAATCACAACCCCTTGTCTACCCATGCACTTCTAGAGTCCAACTCGAGTACATCACCATGTCATTGCATATACTCAATTCCTAAGCAAACCTATGCCTAGAATTGAAATATCAATAATCTATTTTGGGACATCCTTACGGACTGCCCATAACATGATCTTAGCTTCATACTAAATCAATTAAGTCATTTGAATCACATTCAAGCACATCACTTACAATCAAATTTTTAGATTCAATTCCTTGACAATTACAAACAATCATTAACTAGTAATTCAATACTATTAAGATTATTCTTATACATCAAATGTTCTACTTGTAAGTCCCCACATATCTAGAGATATGTAACAGCAACTTAAGCATCCAATGTAATACATAAATATTCATTTATGTATCCACACAATTCACACATGAGTAAAATGCCTATTTTACATAATAGTTCATTTAACTCCATTTTCATCAATATGATTCCAAATCATTTCCAATTCCATTTCTTATCGAATATATCCATATTTCATCCATCTTCATAATCCACGAAAAAACATGATTTATGCATTTAGGTATTCTCGTGCTTAATCTACAAGTTGTAAGCAACTAGATGTCGATCCTCACCTTAATTGAACTTTAAACATTTCCTTCTTGATCCAATGGTCAAAGCTTCGGTCAAGGTGGATTAAGAACTGGTTCCTTGATTAGAAAAGAGTGTTAAGCAGCCTTCTCAAGGTGCTAGCTTAACCTTTTATCAATCACACAAAAACAGCCCCTAGAATGGGTGTTTTCTGGCGAATTGGTCTAGGTTAGTATCTAACCTTTTCATCAATAAATTCACTTTATGAGGACATATTATGCACTTGAAATAGTGTATCAAAGTTACACCAATCTTTCATATCATTTGGAAAATGAAAAGAAAGGTTTTGGGGTTAAACTCACTTTGGAAAGGAAAATCCGATTCTGCGAGGTTGTTTTTTGTTCGGACGATTTGGATGCCTTCCTCAACTCCGTTTGCTTCAAAACAGAACTTAACGGATTCCTCGTCTTGAGAGCTTTCAGTAGACACTTCACACACCTTATGTGGACGAGTGTAGCTCAAGATATGAAGCAAACAATCAACCTTACGCATGGAAGTTTCCCTGTGGACAGTTTGCTCTTATCTTATTTTCTTTTGATTGTGAGGCTCTCCATTCTCTCTTATCTTCTAGAGTTCAAATGGGGGTGAGGGTGAGGTGTATAAGATCCCTAAATCATGTTATCAAAGCACGTGGCTTACAAGAGAGCATGAGAGATATTTGGTTTGCAATCAAATATGAGGTGGATCTCCATCTTTATTTATGTGTTCTAACTTACTCTCCTTGTTTTGCAGGTTCTCAAGCCATGTGGAGTGGTTCTCAATTTATCCCAATCAATTTGAAGTCCAAAATATCCACCAATACTTCCAAAGATGGAAAGATGGGTTCTATTGTTTTATCTTTTATCATGAGATATCTTTTTGTACTCATCCTATTTTATTTAGGCCAAGTCAACTCTCTACATCATATTATTGGTCTCTAATATGTGTAGGAAAATCCAAATAATTTATATGATGTATAAATATATAAGAAAATCCTACTCCCATTACTTAGGTCAATAATGCCTAAGGTGGGACCATAGGAGTTTGTATTCTTCTCTAGCCAACACATTCACTTATTTGTGACCACTGACTTTATATTCCTGGGCTACCACTCGTGTGGACCATCCTCGAGTGGGCCTAGGGTGCCATTCTTGAATACTTGCTATTTTAGCAGGTTAGACCCAAAATAACATTTAGGTTGTCCGACCGTTCTTATTTTGCATCAAACGGTTACGTATCCTTATTTACATGGTGTTGGGCTCTTATATCTAATAAGATTGCCCGATTAAGTATTTGTAAGCCCATTACTATTATACGAGCCCAAACAGTAATATGCTTAATCATGCATCACGTAAAACATTAATCGTTTTACAATTGTTCGATAATAGGGAAATTCAATACATAAGCTTTGAATTTTAAATTTGAATTTGAAGGACGCTCGGGTGCGCTGTCACATTTTTTATCAAGCTCAATAAAAAATTTCATTCTTTTTACATGTAATACCGAGCGGCCATTTCGCAAATTATTTTGTGTAATGAGCAGGAATAGTTCTTCCAACAATTTGTCTAATCGATGCTAATTGTGAACCCAATCTATCAGACATTTCAATTCCAGCAAATGATGATGCTCTCTTCAATTTGATTTAAGTAAGAAGTGATGGGGCCGACGTAACTTATGAGAATACAAAAGAAATGATGTGGGACAAATACTTTAACACACTCCCTCAATCTGATCTGGATTGGACAATATCGAGATATAGAAATGAGTCAAACAGACCCTTAATAAGTTACCCTTACTCACAAGTGCTAAACAAGCAGTCAAATCGCAATCGAACTTGGTTGTGATATCATGTTAAGACATGAGTTTCCATGCTAAATGATAAACCTGATAGAAGGAATACCCTAAAGCCTTATATACTATTTTATTGATTTACAGTTCTCTGATGTGAGACAAATACTTTAACACTATGTAAGACTTATATTAATTTTGATAATTAAAAGTTGGGGGGGGGGGGGGGGCAAACACACACACACATATATCTAATTAAAGTAATTTTTTATAAAAATGTTACATATAATCATATACAATAGAAAATTTAGAAATTGCTCTAGGTAGGACTAAAAATTACATAAAATGCTCAAATAGGACTACTACATTTTAAGGGGAATAAACATTGAATTCTACCCCAAATACCTCTACATTTAATTCATAATAAAATCTTTAAAAAAATAAAAAACATAAAAAAATAATAAAAAATAATATTTTTTTGTCCCGGAGCAAACCACTCACGGTGGAGGAAGTGCCGGGGAACACTTCCTTAATTTATTAAAAAGAATAAAAAGAATATACAAAAGAGATAGGAAAAGCCCTAACAATTAAATTTTTTAGAAGGTATCCCAACCGAAGTTGAGATGGTCCTATTATATTTATTGTGAAACTTTATCGCCTTTTGGAAATAAGGTTGGTAGACAGTTGCCTCCGCGTGAGAAGACTTGAAGCATTTGAGAGCTTGAGCGAGTTTGTGTGGTGAGTCGAATCTCGTGTCTACCGGGTACATGAAATAGTCAGATTCATTTTGAGGTTTTCGGGATTGACTTCTTGTAATCATGGGGTGTGAAGTCCTTCCAACTTCATAGCATAATTGTTGGTCTTCTTGATTGTCAATTGGGAACTTGGAGGAGCTCTTCTTTAAGTTTCTTCTTGCCTTAACCTGCGTGAACCCATCCGGGCATTCCTCCTCCTCAGGCTGATTGTCTGTTGGACCTGCATTCGATGGATCAGAAGAGAGTTCCTCATTTCCAGATTCCAAGGTTTGACCTAAGGAGTCAAAAGTGTTAACCAAATGGACCTCATATCGATTTTTAGCCTCAGAAGCATCAATGGCAGCTTCTCGGACACCTTCATCATAGGCTTGATCATCACAGACAACTTCATTATTGACCAATTCATCAGTGACAACATTCTCACTGACCGCTTGAGCGAAAACCGTGGTAGAATTGGAGTCAGAGGTCGTATTCCTTTCATCTTTATTGGCCTCATCACTAGAGGGATCGCTGATATCAGCTAGAAGACATACAATAGGAGCACCTACTGCTTTGACAGAATCATGAGCGCCAATATCCGTGTTGGGCAATGCAATATCAATATTCATATCAGCAGTGTTACTACCAGTGGTAACAATATTAGTTTTAGCATGATCAGACAAAACAGACTCTGCCGAATCAGACAAAACTGGATTAGGCAAGGCAGTATCAGTATTTATATCATCAGTGGCAATACCAGTGGCAACAATTTTAGTTCCAGCAGTGATCATGATGGGCATGATAAATTTAGGTTGCAAATCGTCATTTGAAACTGGATTAGTTTCAATGTTAACAAGCTGCAAGTCTAGAGAAGTTGGGGCAAAAGAATAGAGTTCTTGGGTCTTTTCCTCAGTAGGAACCTACTGAATCAGTAAAGTTGGGTATTAAAGCATCTGTATATGACGAGGAAACATCAGTAATATGCATCGAATTAGAAGATTTCATAGAACAGGATTTGGTTTCGTGACCAAATCGAAAGCATTTGGAGCAATAACGAGGCAATGGCAAACTTTCATATTTAATTAACATGCTGAAAAAATCCCTGGTTTCCATTTTCAATCCATATTTTCTGGGGCAGAGGATTTGACACATTCAGTTCAATACAAAGCCTCGCCAAAGAGGGATGTGAGAAATTTGCAGTATGAGCATCTATAGAAAGAGGTCTGCCAAGCAAAATACCAATATAATACAGAGCTTTAAGATTGTGAAGATGGATTGGCAGACCTTCAAGAACCACCCAGACCCGGAACAGAGGGGATTCAATATCAGGATTGAATTTAGGGGTCCAGCGAGTTACTTTCATAGCAAATCCGTAAAAATCCCATGAGTTACGAATCCAGAATCGTTGAAAATCCTCTTCAGCATCGAAATTGATTAACAAATGTTTATTGTCAATAAACCCAAAATAAAAGGGTTGGGAGAATCCAATTGCGTCAAAAGCTTTACGAAGGGATAGTAAAGGCGGGCGACCATGATTGAAAGTATCAACCAGCGCATACCTAAAATTGGAGGAAAGGTTGGTGATTTCATCTTCAGAGAAAGAGACAGAGGGGACTCCCTTGAATCGTCCAAAAGGTTTTGAAGGAAGGTCGAGGTTCGCGACAAAAGAAAAGAGGCGAGTCTGCGAGTAACGTGGACGGCCAGGGAGAGACTCCCTTACCGACGCAACAAAGGATTTGTTGATGCCGACACCCTTTGCCGGCCGCATGGCATATAATAAAATATTTATAAAATAAAATATTTATAAAATAAAATAATAGATTTTTTTAGAATTATAAAAAATAGTAAAAAATCATATTTTTTTTAAAAAAATATGGATACCTTTCCCACCGCCTCCCAACAATACAACCTCCGATTGGTGAAAATTCTTCCATTTTTTATAAAAAATGTCAATTTTTCCCGGAAAATGCCAAGAAAATGGCATTATTCTTCATAATTCAAAAATTCTCACTAGATCTACCATTATTATGGCATTACTAAAAATGCTGGCAGATTTCCAATGGGGCTGGTGGTGGCACAAGTAGCGGCATTTTTTATGTTTTTAATTTTTAGTAATTTTTTTATTTTATAAATATTTTATAAATTTTTATTTTTTTCTTTTTTTATTTTTTTATTTTTTATTTTTTATTATTTTTTATGAATTTATTATTAATTAAGACATTTTAAAAGCTATACGAGTATATATCTCCAAACACACATAAATAGCCCTACTGGGGGATTTAAAACATGTATTTCTATTTGTGCTCTTGGGACATTTTTTGCCCTATTTAGGTAATTCACTCTAGAAAATTTTGAAAATCAAAAGAGATCGTCGCCCGACCGCCCATAAATTTGTCCCTGATGGGTGGTTCCTAATTTCGTTATGATTGACCCACCGTTGTGTAGTGGTGGTGGAACAAGAAAGAGGAGAGCGTTCAAATAGAGAAAGAAGCTGGAATAGTGAACTAAGCTAAAAGGATAGACTAACATGTTTCTTTTATCTACTTAACATAATGTCAAATTGGATGTGAATGGAATATGTGATTCCTCTAGAGATGGATAGTAAAATCATGAGACTAGAGGATACTTAGCTCTAAACTAACATGTTAAGTGTATGCGTTAGTAGTTCTGTTTATTATGAACTATAAAACATATGTTAATAATTCTGATGTACTAAGATGGGAATGCTAAACACCTAAAGAAGTGGCACATCTAAAATACGAACGCTCGATATTAATTTAAAATTAAACCCAACCTCAGTGTCAAGTCAAAATCTTTTTTTATGTATATATTGAATCTTTTTATTTGGATTTTCCGTTGTATTTATCGAACATGATTAAATACATAGTACTTACATCAATTAACAGTTTCATGGATAGGACAAAATTTTAAAAAAAAAACATTTTGTCCCGAGCCTTTTGAAATACAAGTACAAAGAATGATTCATTTTCCTCTCTTTTTTACCCCGAGGGTCGGTGGAAGGGCATTGGGAATGACTGGTTTTCCTTTTTTACAAAAAATTTGATTAATCTTTTATTTAAATAATTCAAAGTCTTATTTGTTGTAGTAATTTATATTCAATCTATGCCCCAACTCCCAACTCACACCACGGTGATTGTGATAAATGTGGCGACGATGGTGACATAAAAATATGGTCATGGATGATAGTATGTGTTTCTAAATATATTAGCTTATTAGTTAAGTTGCAACTTTGTTCATATATATAAGTAATCATTTTTTGAAAATGAATTTCCATTTAATCATATTTATAGAAAATCATATAAAACTCTCTTCCATAAATTAGGGAAACAACAATATTTAGTTAGAACATTTCTGTATACAATATTTTAGTTGAATTCAATTTAATTTCAAATTAAACTAGATCAAATCAAATCAGAGTTAAAATGATCAAATCAAATCAAATCAAATCAAATCAAATCAATAGTAAAATAAATACACATAAAAGATATATGCAAACCTAATTGTTTAGGCATTTTCAACCGCTTTAAAAGAATTTTATCAATTTTAACGGACTCAATCTCATAATAAACTAATTGGGATCTCATTTTCTATTAATTATGAGATACTCCCTCCGTCCCCTTTTAAATGCCTCATTTTACCATATTGGGATGTCCCTATTTAATTGTCACATACCTTATTTGGTAAAGTTTGTGTGGCTCAAAATCATTCTTACTTTATTCTTACTTTATCTATTACTCCCTCCGTCCCAATTTGATTTGCAAAATTTCCTATTTTGGTTGTCCCAAAAATGGTTTTCCACTTTCTATTTTAGATATGTAAATAAGAATAAAGTGACAAATTTACCCTTACTTTTACTTTTTCCTCATTAACTTAAAGACATCTACTTTTAGAAAGATGAGCAAAAGTGTAAAAAGCAAGCATCATTTATTGTCATTCTTTAATCCTTGTACCGGTCAAAGATTGCAATTCAATTCGGGACGAAGGGAGTAATATCAACCACACAAACCTACTTTTCTTAAAACTCGTGTCACCCTCTTCCGGGACATTTAAAAGGGGACGGAGGGAGTACCTTTTTTCTAGTTTCATACGCTCGTTCTTACATACTCTTCTTTTTTGACTTACCTGACCGACACAATCCTGATTTTGCAACTTAAATTTCTACCCATTGATTATGCTTGTTCAAATAAGAACAGAGTGTAGCAAGTAAAATCGATTCCATAATCCAGATCACCAAAATATAAATTAGAGAGGATGTATTTAGAAGGTAAACGAGAGGCATCAACCAATAATCCGGTCAGCATTTTTACAGAGCAACACTACCAACATTATGTATGTTTGGTAAAATGGTTTTTTTACTTGAGCCTTTTGTCTCAAACAACCATAGCCCACAGTGCTCCCAGGTCGCAAAATCAATGTCGCGAGTACGAAAAAAATATGTCAAAATCTAATTTTTTATAAGAAGGCATTACTCTATTCAACACAAACTTTCCACATTTTAGTTGGTAAGAAAAAGGTTAACAAGAGGATTCCTTCGAAGACAATAGGCTAGATCACGTGTTTAATAAGCTCTACTCCTACTCCTTCAAGAAGAATCAATTTTCCTTAGTTCGAGAATGACACACTGGTATAGTGGTATCCCTATCTTGCAATAGATGTTTATACCGGTAGTTAATTAAGTCAATCATTTTTGTTTTTGCTATGAAGTAACTATGTGAAAGCAAATTATACCGTGGGATCGGCCCACCTTCCGCATGGTGTGCCGATCCCACTTTAGGCAAGTTCCTTTTTCTTTTCTTTCTTCCTGGAGCAACGTAAATCCCCTTTCCATTGCTTTTCTCTTTATTTTTCTTTTGTTCATCAATTCTTTTATTTTTCCATCAAATTAAAATACTAAAAATTTAATGTCAATCATACTTTTCTTTATCTTCATCTTAAATTATAATTGAATCTATTTATTTTATTCTTTAACAATGCATAACAAAAAGTATATTAATCTAAATAAAATAAGTATATTGCAATTAATATTCATACACTATTTTTGTTTTTGTATTAATTTTTATATTCATATACTTTTTTTGTAATATACTTTTTATATTCACACACTTTTTTGTTATATTTTTTATATGGAGAAACTTTTTCTATAATATAACTTTTTTATCACTTTTATATAATTTTAGAGGTTTTTAAGACATTGAGTTTGTTTATTTTGATTTTTGAAGTTACATTTGATATTATATCATGAAGTTATATTTTCTTCCACACGAGTTACATCTTATTGTACGCGAGTTACATCTTAATATACGCGAGTTACATCTTGGTGTATGTGAGTTACACCACGGAATAAACCCATGTTATATCATTTTTATAGCCCTAATATTAAACATAAAACATATTCACTATCCTAATAGCTTAATTAGGATCAATTTTTCATTGTTTTCATTTAAATCAATGTTTATGACATATATATTATTCTTAAACACACACAAAAAAAGTTCTATTTTTCAACAAGTTACATTCTGTATACATCTACGTTATATTTGCCATCACCACGAGTTACATTTGTAATAACATGAGTTACATTAAAAAAATCAACGCCTGCTATTGAAACAAAAAAAAATTAATTTTTTTTTTTTATGGTCATGATATTAAAAACAAAACATATTCACAATTTACGTAAAGCAATTGTGAAATTAGACTCTCTTTTTTCATTGTTTACATTGATATCAATATTGTATTTCTAATACTATGTATTTGACAAGTTACATTTCGAATGCACTTGAGTTACATTAATCAATAACGTAAATTACATATCTTTACTCGCGAGTTACACCATTCATGCTACTGGGACAAAAAGAAAGAAAAAATAATTACTGTACACACGTGTACTGTTCACGCGTGTACTGTTCACGCGAATTTTTAAAAAAAAAATGAGTAAAGCTACGTCATTTTGAAAGTGGAGCATCATGCTCACCGTGGGATGATACCACGGTATACGAACTGATGTGAAAGTGATATTAGAACTATAATTATACATAAAAAGTATAACATGCTATAAAAGAAAAAGTCAAATAAAAAAAAGGAAAAGTATATCCTCAAATATCGTTTCAAACAACCATTTAACCAAACACCATTTTACAAACTGTTAATACTATCGGCTAATTAAAACCGCCAACTAAATCAACCGTCATCTATCAGCCAACACAAACTGCTATGAGCCAACAACCAATCGTCAACCACCCCCATAACATTTTTTTAAACGAGATGACATTTTGATAGATAAATAAATAAATAAATAAATAAATGTTGTTTGATAAACAAACATGTTTTTTAAGACGGTAGACTAATTAAGCACTCTTTCCTATTTACATAATCAAATACGTATTTCTCTTTAATAACTAAAATTCACATATTCATAAATTTGAAAACGATTAATTATATGTAGTATAAAATTAAAATTAAAATTCTATAAAGTAAGCATATGAATAGTGTATGAAATGGCAATCGGTTTTCATGAAACAAATAAAATAAATACTACGTAGTAGTATTATGGATGGACTCAGGCCGGCCCGACCCAGTGGTCCGGTCAGTGACCGGTCTTGGTAGGCCCGACCCGGTGGCCCGGTCAGTGACCGGTCCGGGTAGGCCCGACCCGTGGGTTTTCTGGGCTCGGGTCACCCAAAACAAGGCCCAACCCGGCCGGGCCCGGTTCGGGTCAAAACTTTTTTTTTTTCAATTTTTTTAAATTTTCGGGTTGGGCTGGGTATTTTGGGCCATTTGGGGTGGTTTGGGGGTTTGGGGTGGGAGGGGGTTAATTAGGAAGAGGGGAAAAAAAATTGATAATGGGCCCGGCCCGGCCCGGACCCGGTGGTTACCCGGGCCGGTCCCGAGTCCACCACTCCTGAACCGCCGGCCCGCCCGGGCCTAGGCCCAACCCGGACCCGGCCCGGACCTGAGTCCACCCCTAAGTAGTATATTGAGATGTCAATTGGTTCTGAACTTCTGAAGTATTAGTTCGCAATGCAATACATTATTGATACGCCAATACCCTTATACCCATATCCCATATTGAAACAATGAAACCTCCTCCCTCAAATATTCTTTTCTTCTCTTCACTACTTTTCAATGCTATTATTCTTTTCCCGCGCAGTTCAACAAAACTGAATAGAACAACAAAGCTTTGAACTCCTTCAGAGACAGGTTCTTTGATTTGAGGCCAGGGCACAATATAACCATTCAGCTCTAATACACAATGGATTCCACAGGTCATATAAATTCAAGTGATACTATTATGCTACCTTCAAGAACTTCATAGCAGTTAAATATGGCGCTTTCAGGACATGCTATGATACTGCAACCCCTACGGTCGAAACCAACGAGTCACCGTCACCGCCTCCCACTATTCCCAATACTGGAAATGCGCAGGACAGAGGCAAAAGGACATCTTCCACAAGCATTCAAGGGAAAAGGGATCAAGAAAAACAAACCTTTGAACTTGCTGGTTAGTAGGGCCGCCATTGGCAGCAGCGGAGGTTCAGATTCTTCATTGCAGATAATCAAGGAGTTATATTCCAGCATCAATAAAAAGGACATGAAGAGCCTTGGAGCGCTTTTATCTCAAGATTGTTTCGTCGATGACTTCTCCTTCCCTCAGCCATTCGAAGGGAAGAAGGAAGCTTTATGCTTTTTTGAAGAGTTGATCATATCCATGGGTCAGAACACAGAATTCGTTATAGAGCATATTTGTGGAGGTGTCGACCAAACAGCTGTGGTCAACTGGCATTTAGGTAACTCCACAACATTCACAAATTACTTACCCTTGTGTTACTACAACATTTTTAAACTACTTATTTGATTAGATTAGCCTACTATTAAAAAAAGCAAACTTAAAGGGTTGAAATGAAAATAAATAGCACTTTTATCTTAATCTTTTAAATATTATTCATTCAATTCTAAATATACAAAATTAAGCCAAATCAGCTAATTCTGCCACTTCAGCTACAATATTAACAAATTCAATACACTTGCTCTTCTTAATCAAATCTACCACTACCAGATGGACTTCCAATTGATAAAATCAGCCTTCCTCATTTCTTCAATGAGAAGATCACTAATGTCTAGATTGATTTAATATGTTCAATACTCTTAATGTAATTGCAGAATGGAAGAAGAAGCAGGTTCCCTTTACTAGAGGATGCAGCTATTATGAATTATCAAAAGAAGGAGAACAACTAGTCATCAAGTACAAGTCCACACATCTTATCAAATTCTGAATTTTTTCACTCAACTTCTATTGATATAACAACTAACACATTTGTTTAATTGTTTTGGCTATTAAACACAGGAAAGCTCAGGTTATCATTGAATCGCCAGTTAAACCAGGAGGCCTAGCACTGGTACGGATCCCAGTTATTACTTGTTATATTCTTAAAACTGTTCGTTAATTGATGGCAGATTAGATTCTCATATACATTCTTTGACAAAACAGACCGTGTTCAAAGGCATAAATTTGATATTTGATGCATTCCCCGGGGCTACAGAGAGTAAGTTAATTATATTCATTTTTTGTTCAATTTTGGGGTTCCAACTAAAATATGTTAATCTATATGAGGAATAGATATTTTTTAATAGTACGATATCGTCATTTTGAGGATTGAAAGTTATATTAACAGACATCATAATTTTTCATGCTGCAGGGTTCCTAAATAGCCCTTACGCAATCTTCCAAATCTTGTTAAACATATACAAGATAGTTTTAGAACCTATGATACGCCCAGTTGTATCATGGTACCTCAAACTCATGAGGCTTACAGCTGCTTTTCTGAGCCTCACATTCAAAGTAGTGCAATTAGTGGTGAAGAATTTCAACAAGTAGTAGAAGAAACCACAAAAGTTTTATCCAAATCTTACATTACTCATCACACACAACAGTCTACTTTTAGATTATTAATGTAAATTGTAAAGCAAAACTCAACCGAAAACTACTCAAGATGCCTAAAATATAAGGTCACCTGCCATGATCATCAGTCCTCATTTCCATCCCTTTTAAACCATGATGGCAACAGTGAAAGAGCAACCAGAGGTCCCATAAATGGTGGAATTGGCGGTGGCCTGCTAAAAGCAATGATGGGGTCATGATTTCCCTTCCCAATTTGCCCTTCTCCTGCTTCTCCGTCATCATTTCCTTGTTTCCTCGGCGTGATAGTTCCAACTGCACAAAACATCACAATACATTCAAATGACACCTGTTCTTTATTTCAACTAAGGGGTAGTCTGGTATTAACCTCACAGGGAGTAACATGTGATGTAATTAAATACTTCTTCAGTCTAAAAAAGAGTAATGTTTCACGGCTTAAACAAGGTGCAACCTTTTTATTTTGAAGTGGTAGAACCTTTCTTCATTTTCGCTCTCATCCCCCAAATATTTCTTCAGCCCAATTACTCCTCCAAATTTCATGTCTTTTGTGAAAATGAGCTAAATTTAACATGCTTAACTAGTTGGATTTCGGAACACGCTATTGCATGGGGGGATATCACATAAAATTCATTAAAGAAAGTATCTTTGGTTGAAACAAGACTAGTTTTTTAGGATAAAAATACAATTTCAAACATGAAATTTTTTCTTTCCGGACAGGAAGTATTTCATTACCTCTTACCAAACTATTCCTAATTACTACCAAGTACTCCGTAAAAAACTTGAAAGAACCAGGAACAGAAGCATACCCCATCTTCCTTTGAATTGATGAGTGGGTTTTAATTTCTCCACAGAAAACCACAATCGAGCAGCTTCACGCATGCCTAAAACACTGTAAACTATAAATGGTTTCAAGAAACCACAGAATTAGCCAACAAAGCTAGCTGCCTAGCTATATCATATATTTGAGAGATCCAATGAGATATTCAAACACTCAAGAACAAAACGCGTAAACATATAAGAATAGTGGTTCATTTCTTCTATAGACAGAAATTTTACATGATCAGGCATTTTATCGCTCAACTCAATGAATGAAAATGCCTCGTATCTTCTTGGGATCACTTTATATGGCATACTCCCGCGGGGAAACAAGAATTCCAGACAAAAATGAGAGAAGAATTTGAAAAAAGAAAGTACCTGGCGATAGCTATTCTAGATGTTCCTCGTTTCCGTGAGCAATAACAGTGATCATCGATAAAAAGGAATACAGGGAAAACGACCACGTCAGTGACCAGAATGTTCCTGAAAATTTAGGCCTGTGGATCATGCAATGCTCTAAATAAAAGATGGGCCTGTTGATTGAGTATGCCAATGTGATTGAGTATTGGGCCTGTTGACTATTGCTAAATCATTACTCTCTCCGTCCCCAAAACAACTTCACAGTCACTATTCATTGGTCAACTTGAATCACTCCTAATCTTTTATTTTATATATCAATTTTTTATCAAATTATAATTTTCTTGATCAGACTTTGTAGCGGTTTTAATTTAGTTCCTGAATATGTAAATTTTATTTACTAAAACTAATCTGAGTGTGAACAGAGTTCGAGTTGCTTTATCGTCGGTCAAGCATCGTAAATCAAACGGGTAGTCTTAAAATATAAGTTATGAATAAAAATATGATTAAAGTTATTAAATCAAAATTTTCTTTTTTTTTCATTATTACGCATTACTTCTACAAAATATGTTACTGTAAATAATACGCAGTATATATTGGTAAACAAATGTCAAAAGATATTTAAAGATAAACATATATATATATATATATATATATATATATATATATATATATATATATATATATATATATATTAAAGAAATAAAAAAAAACACTTTAGAATCATAAAAACAACACTTTAAAATAATAAAATAATTTCAAATCTATCTCCAAATTATCTTGGAACTAAACTTGGAGTAAAATTCATCCAAATGAGAGTCCTTATGAAGTACGGATGTTTTTTGTTTGGACTGAAATTTGTTGGTCTGATCTGGTCTGGTTTGGTCTATTTAAGTATAGTCTGATCTGATCTGTTTAAGTCTGGTTTGATATGGTCTGGTTTGGTTAGGGATGACAATTTAACCTGACTCGATGGATACCCGCACCGAACTGAACCGGTCAAAATGGGGAAAACTACTTTGACTGGGTAACGGGTACGGGACGGGGAATACCCGATTTATGTAAATGGGTAATGGGGCGGTTATGGGTTTATACATACCCGCCCCGTTACCGCCCCGTTTAATTTGGATACGCTTACCCTCACCATTACCCAACACGCACAATTAACTTACATATTTTAATAGTTTATGTATTTATTATTTAATATATTAAGTATATATGAATAGTAGTACATTAGTGTATGGCACTTATTCCGTCTAATTTTTTGAAAAATATTCAACTAATTGGCTATCCTTTGTAATTTTGAGGACTTGGTGCCCAAAGTTCACTATTTTAGATTTTTAATTTTCAATAGCATTCATCATCCTTCCTTTGTTAACTTCTACGAGACTTATTTTCTTAATATATTGATTATTTGATTTTTCGTGATTTTCTGTACACAATTTTTACATTGTGACTCTCTTAATTTTTCACCCAATAATTTTCATAAAGTTCACATATGAGTTTAAAGTCCAAATATTAGGAAACATTACTCTAGATTGCTTTAATTTATCTAATTGATAATAATTTTGTAGAGGGGTATTGGATGATTATATTAATTTTGATTGGTTGCTCTAATTTATATCAAGTTTTAAATTTAAATTATGAGGTTCCTAAAACAGTAAATACAAGAATAACAAAATCATAGTATTAGAAGTATATTTTTTAGAAATAACTCCAAATCTATAATCAAAATAAAAGTTGTGGACAAAAATAGGGTTCTAGTAACTTTAGTATTTATAATTTTATTCAAATGTTATATCGTAGTGACCATAAAACTTGCTCATGTTAACTTATAGTCACATTTATGATCATATATATTTTATTAATAATATTTTAGGAAAAAAACTTCTCATTTTCATTATGTTACTTGTATACATTAATGTTCCTAATTTTAGATGTTGAATGCTGGTGGGGTATGATTATTGAATTTTTAGAAGTTAAATGTTTTTGTTCATTTTCATTATGTTACTTGTATACATTAATGTTCCTAATTTTAGATGTTGAATGCTGGTGGGGTATGATTATTGAATTTTTAGAAGTTAAATGTTTTTGTGATTCATATTTAGAGACAAGACTTAATCTTTTGATGTTGATGTGATATGAGATTCATAATTTTAAATCTAGACATATATAATTTGTGAATTTTAGGTTCAAACGATTGTAATTTTTTGTGATGTTTTAAAAAACTCAATCGGTGGTGCTATTTAATTTTAATTTTCTTAATTTATGTGGTCAATTATAAGTAGTTAATCATCATTTTAGGATTTATACTAATTTTGGGGGGGGGGAAATCTTTTAATAAAACGGTTACCCACGGGGAAACCGTTATCCGCAGGGAAAACCGTTACCCGCGGATAAAAAATACCCGACGGGTAACGGGGCGGTTTTGGGGAAAAATATTATCAAACGGGGTGGCTGGCGGGTACGGGTAATGGCATACCCAACCCCGAACTGCCCCGTTGCTATCCCTAGGTTTGGTAAGCATCTGGTCTCTGTGCATTTTATAACTGTCCAAGTCTAGTTTTGTCTTGTCTGGTCTGTTTAAATCTAGTCTGGTCCAGTCTAGTCTGGTCTTGTCTGGTCTGTTTAAGTCTGATCTGGTCTGAGACTGAAAACGGTCCAAAAGAAAACATCCTAAGTAAGAGTAACATGCTCCTACAATTCAAGAGTAACCATTTGCCTACTCCTTTTTATGTACTTTACTATTTTTTATTCTATATGAGGCAATTTCTTATAAATCTATCGCACATATTTGATTTTTATCATTATCGCTCGCAATATTAATCAGTCACAAATATATCAAATTGCATTATTAATCAATTATAAATGTATCAAAGAGAAATTACCCAAAATAGGACTAAAATGTTTGTATATTCCAAAATAGGACTATCATGTTTTTATTCCCAGAATAGGACTAATTACTACCATGTTTTGGCAGTACCAAACTTTAAACATGACAGTATTTTCCAAACTTGGCAGTAATTACTCCGAATTTGGGAATAAAAACATGACAATGCTATTTTGAAATTTTGAAACTTTCTTATTGCTATCAATTTGATATGCAATCCATCAGGTACTGTTGTTTATCAATAGAGTATGCCACTTGACCATCACAACATTGAGCCATTTACGGATCAAATCGGTAGACCAAACTAAAGATCGCTTGATGTGCATCACTCTACTCCTATGTTGGGAATAAAAACATAGCAGTCCTATTTTGAAATTTTCAAACTTTTTTATTGCTATATCAATTTGATATGCAATTCATCCGGTACTGTTGTTTATCAATAGAGTATGCCGCTTGACCATCACAACATTAAGTCATTTACGGATCAAATCGGCAGGCCAAACTAAAGATCGCTTAATGTGCATTACTCTACTTTCTACGTCTGACCCATGCTCGGTGGAAGAGCTGGGCATGAGGGGGCAAGTCACAAGCGCCACGCTTAGGGCAAAAAAAAAATAGTACTACTACTTATAATATTTAATGACTCTCTTCTTCTTTTCAAAAATCAATACCAATTAAGATTAATTTTAAATTAAATGTTAAAATAAAAGGTAAAGTCTGTCAAGAAACATACGTTTCTCTAGGAATACAAGTATTGACTGCACCACACCACACTCATTTGAATGCAAGTGTGCATTGTTTTAGACCTTTAATGACACATGAGTTGGCTTTTCGTGGTTATATTGAACTAGAAAGTATTGAGTTTGACGAATATGTTGTCACATTTCTTGCAACAAAAAGATCAAAACATTTTCGAGACGATGTTGGATTCCCACCTTAGTGGAGAAATTCATGAGAATGTTATAATTTCCAAAGATGTCTAAGATTCTCTATATGTGTATAGAGAAGTATTTAATGTTTTAGAAGAATAATGTGAAATTTTCTAGAGAACTATGGAACTCACTAAAATCGTGTGGAAGTGTGTGAATGCCTTTAGAACATTTTGAATAATTGTGAAGTTCTCTAAATCCTTAAGGAGACTCTCACTTTTAATCACTCAAGAGCTCTCCTCAAGATTCTCATAGAAATAGGAAACTTCTCTATACTAATCTCATCAAAGCTTCTCTAGAATTTTTTTATACACCACTACACATCGAGTTAGGTATGTAGAGTGAAATATTCCCAGAGAGTGAGCGCGGGTAATAGAAAGTGATATTGTCAGATTGAGTCACTGTATTATGAGTGTGCAGATAAGTGTACAAGAGTATATGAGCTCATGATTCTGGAAAGACCGGGAGTCGTGTTTTTCCAACATGAAGTTATTATGCAACATTTTGAAAAAATTAAAACTCGTATGATTGATCTACCTGAGTTATAGAAAGGAGTCAAGCAATATGTAGTGAACTGATTTGTGCTAATGTATTAACTTTTATTGTTTTTATTATATTTTGAGCAATTACACAATAATTCTTAGCCTTCGGTACGCCCCCCTTCGAAAAATGTCTAGCTCCATCACTGCCCATGATCTAAACTGAAGTCCATCATCCCATCAAAGAGTATGAGCTCAAATTTCATAAAAAGAAAATGTTTAAATTTTTTTCAAAATATTTCACTGGAAGCACATTAAATGGAGGTGGTCGGACGACGTTCCGTTCAAGAATTCCTGACCGAAAGATCACTCTTTTTACACAAAACTTTTTGAATTTCAAATTGATGTATTGATAATATTAAGGATGTTTTTAATTGGGTTGAAATTATCTAATCTAGTCTGGTCTGGTCTGGTTTGGTCTAATCTGATCTGGTTTGTTTAAGTTCGATCTAACCTGAACCGATCTGATTTAGTCTAGTTAGATCTAGTAGATGTCTATATTATGTGTATTATAATACTCCGTATTGTTCAAGCGTGGTTTAATATGGTTTGATCTAATTTGATATTGCGTGTGATCTTATTTATTTGAGTGTGATGTGATTTATTGTGCAATTAAATTTGTTCCAATTAGAAACATCCTCCTAATAATATTTATGTTAGAAATCTCTAATGTTATAATGTGCACATTGCACATGTAGGACGAAAGAGATGGACACAAAAGAATACATTCATGACAATTCTCTTTCATTCTTTCCACGGTCTCATTAT